AAAAGTAAAAAATTGTGCAATATTTATTATAAGTTATTTAGAATAGCAATGACAAATGTTTTTTTTTTTTATAATAGAACAAATAATAAATAAATAATAAAACAGATTGTAATACTAATGAAACCTTATTCTAAGTACTTAATAATCGTGCTTTGTAAAACTCCAAAATTTAATAATAAAAAAAAATGAACCTTAAATTTGTTCTTCTTATTATTTCCTTTCTAGTAATTTTTTATTTTGTAAATAATCATGCTTTTTTAAAATTTCGCACAATGCGCATTAATCCAGAAAACTAAGCTTCGGTGAAAGGGCATGTAAACAACGCCAGTAATGGCTATCGTGCTGTAGCCGCAACGCGAATGAGTCCGAAACGTTATTGCCGATAACTCCAAAACGGCAGATTTTAGCAAAATGTCATTATTATTTTCGACTTAAGTATGAAAATTTACACCTAAATGTAACTATTCGGGAAACTTTTATTAGAAACTGAGCACAGAGCTTAAACTGCAAATTACCCATCTATATATATATATATATATATATATATATATATATATATATATATATTTTTAAATAAAAAGAGACCACTTTAAGGTTCCATGTACTAAATTATTTCGCCACAGCCCTTTTAAAAGGACTTCGGATCATCAGACTTTACTTCCAAACAAAAAATGAAAAGAAAATTTACACATTTTTGACGGGCCGTATTGAACATATGTAAATTAACGAAGTGAGGAAGTGAGGGGGGAGAGAGAGAAGACATGAGTGAGTTAGCAGATATTGACACATTTAAACGGTTAACTTAACGGAATTTATATATTGATATCGAAGGGGTAGAGAAGAAAAAACCCATAGAGAGAAAAAGAGAGAAGGAAGTTAAGAGAGAAGAGAAGATGTCACTAATTTTCTTTGTAAAAAAAGCTAGAAACAGACGCAGTTATTTTGCTTTACTTTGAAAGTGTTATTTTGGGAGGTTCATAAAGATTATTTAAATTATTTGCTCTGAATTTACATTGAGCTCTCTGGATTTTATCTTCCTTAGGTTTACCCATACGGATTACCTAGTTTTGTATAAACAAACAAACTATATATATATATATATATATATATAGAGAGAGAGAGAGAGAGAGAGGCGGCATATAAATATAAATTTATAAGTATATAAATTAAAGAATATCAAACACTTAAAATCCCAATAATAAAACAGTAATAATTTTCATTTTTAATCCCAGTAATAATTTTTCTTTTATGCGAGCGCTAAAAACAGCAGCTCTCAATCTCCAAGGCCCACAAACAAATCCAATCTTCAAAACTTACCAGGATTTGTTTGAAGGGCTTGAAGATTGAGAGTTGCTGTTTTTAGAGCTCACATGAAATAAAAATTATTACCTATGGATTTAAGTGTTTGATATTCTTTAATTAATAATAATTTTTTTCTCTGACCTTTGACATAGAGATCCCCCCTGATCTATATATCCTCCTGAAATTCCATACGGATTACCATATTGTATCATTACTATATATATATATATATATATATATATATATATATATATATATATATATGTTTTTGTTTGTATATATATATATATATATATATATATATATATATATATATATATATATATATATATATATATATATATATATATATATGTTTTTGTGTTTGTGTCTGTGTCTATCACTGGGCGTGTTTCAAAAAATAAATACGCTAAAATCCACTTTCATCCCTACCGACGGCTTAATGGTTAGAATCTCCGACTGACACCAATTCAGTCGGGTTTCGATCCTAGAGGCAACCGGATGTCTAGCCACACTGATGAGCTGTGAAATACACGTATATATATATATATATATATATATATATATATATATATATATATACTTGTATATATGTCAAATCGGTAGCCGAGGGAAATAAAAAAAGAAAGAACTAAGAACAGGGCGAAATAAATTGTCCAGTTCATTAAGTCTTTATTCCAAAGAAAAAAAAAACAAGCTAGTAGTAAGACTAAAACGTAGAGTGCTCAATACTCTAAGTAGAGCGGGTATACTAAAATAGATCCGTTTAGGTGAAACTTAAGTAAGTTTTCCTGGCTCTAGGATTTATATATATATATGTTTTCTTTCGAGTTTGAGTGACCATCACGATCACCAGACTTTTTACTTTTAAGGTGTACTGAAAGATCTTGTTTACATGATCGAATTGAAAACAATTCTTGAATTAAAACAAAGAATTTCTGATGAATTTTCTGAAATTTAATGTACAAATATGTAAATGGTTTGCAGAAATCTTGTTGATAATGTTCAGTGCTGTACTGAACATAGAGGGGAAATTTTGAACATGTTAAATAGTTTGTTATGATAAATCATATTGTTTTGATATGACAATACTTATAAATTTTCGTTAATTACTGTAAGTTTTTTTTGTTCAATTGTTGTGGAGTGCTTTCACAGTGGAGGCTTGTATTTGTACTAAGTCGGCCCTAAAATAGGTTCGATGTACAAAACGTTAGGAACTTGATATAATAGGTATTACGCAGAGTAATCTAGTTGTGGTTGCTGATACTTTCGTATTCGACTAACTGTCGTCCGACATCGACTGATTCACCGACTCACTTCCCGACTGACTCGTTACTCTTACTACTTATTATAGGTGGGAGAGTCTATTAACTATAGAATAGGTGTGTTCCACCATAATATCAATAAAGGCTAATAAATTAAAAAGGGGGTTATTTTTGCCACGCCCTTTATACAGAGTCTGCCAATAAGATGTATTCACACTTTAGGAAGTGAAAATCTTGTCTTTCGTACTTTTATCAAATAACTGTTTATTGTAGTATTTTCTCGACATATGGCATTACCGTCATGGCTATAGCATCAACACGTTCTATATTGGTGGCCCTAAGACAAGAAATTGAAAATGCATGTGTAGCAATCCCACTAGACACTTTGGTCAACGTTGCCGAAGCAGTAGTTTTCTGTGCTAATAAATGTCTGGCAGCTAAAGTCCACCATTTTGAGCATCTCTTGTGATAGTTGAGTCCAAGGTAACGTGTGTTAATCTTGTGATCTCTGAATAAATTTAGTATTAAAATATCGATACAAGTCTTTCCTTTCCGGAAGTATGTATATATTTGGGGGGCGGACTATCTCCCTCCTCTCTCTCTCTCTCTCTCTCTCTATATATATATATATATATATATATATATATATATATATATATATACAAATATAGATAACTATACTCGTTTCTTGAAAAACCTCGAATTTTTGATTTGCCAATAATCAAATCAATCTCGAAGGGAAAAAAGGTTTTAAAAAAGAAAAAGCTACAAACATGAAAGTCTGTCGAAAAAAAAATCGCACAGATACAGGTTTGAAGCCCAAAGAAAAAAACCCGACAAGAGTAAGCAACTAATCAACAAAAGAACTCAATACAACGGTGAATTTCCCTGACGATCCGTTTAGGTGAAAGCCAGGTAGGTTTGTTTGGCTCACTAGATCTATCTATCTATCTATCTATCTATCTATATATATATATATATATATATATATATATATATATATATATATATATATATATTTTTGTGTGTTGATATAATAGGAAAGAACTGTTAGATTGATGATCCGAAGTTCTTTAGTCCATAGTAATTTCTGTGTCGCGATGGAATCATATCTTTTTTTAAAAATAATTATATATATATATATATATATATATATTATACAAGTATAGGATTGGTGTATACGGGATAAATTCCAATAACCAACAATTACTATTCTTAAAAGACTGCTCAATACAGAGTAGAGCAAATATAATTATTCATTCGAAAATCATAACATATATATGTTATAAAATCACTACAAAAATAGCCATTTTGTTTCAACACTTCTGGTGTCTTATCAAGTGATTGTGTTGAATGTAGAATAAAGGGTTTTAAAAGGTTCAAATCAATCAAACATCCCTCGCTAAGGTGAAACGCTGTTACATAAGCTGGAATGACCAATCAAAATACAAGTATATAAGAATTCAAAAAACTTGACAAAGAACTTTGGTTATAATAATTATTTAATTCTTTAATGTCGGGGTCAATGTTGGACTAAAATAGAATTCATTCTAACTAATAAATATTAAATTACCTATAAAATTCAAAATTACCAATTATAAATTATAAAATTAATCTATATTAAGCTTAAAATTATAAAATTATTTAAAGAAAAAAATTCGAATGAATTATATATATATCTATATATATGTGTGTGTGTGTGTATTTGTGTAGCAAAGTTTCTTTTATACATGTTTCATCGAATGTGACGAATAAGGAATATCTTATGAGTTTTTTATTATTTTTTTTCTAGTGTCCGTACAGTTTTTTTTATGTCGAGTAAGAGACTGTACTGTAGAAACTGTCCGTAATGATTACTGTATCAAGCGCTTTCGGTCAATCCATTAGCCATTTCCAAGGAGTTCGTTGTTAGTGTATTTTCCGTGCTTGTGTTCTAACGTGTATTGTGTAGAATTAGAGCACTTATAAAATGTTCCTTGATTCATTCAATCACCCCCACAATATATATATATATATATATATATATATATATATATATATATATATATATATATATATATATATATGTATTAAGATGAAGAACAAATAGGAAACGTTGATCAATCTAAATCTGAGAATGAGATATGGAGTAAAAGAAGAAAGGAATTCGGGTATATTTATTTTTGTGTTGTTTGATTTTTCATTGGCTAATCCTATTTGACCGGCATTCGACTCTTTAAACCTACGTTTCGAATGGGCGGGAAACGTGATTGGCTAATGAATATCAAACAAGACAAAAGTAAAAATACCAGAATTTCTTTCTCCTTTTTCTTCATATCTCATTCTCTGATGAAGCTTTAATAAAAGTGAAACATGTTAAATTGATAAAAGCTTCCTATTTGTGACTGATCTTATCTTATCTCTGTCGGATTTCTATCCATATTTGATCTGAAGTTGATATCAAATCTACAAATCTATCTATCTATCTATCTATCTATCTATCTATGGTAGGTTTCAGTAGGAATGGTAATGAAATTAAGGTATATTATAGGAATGAAAGAGGAGGTGGTAGCAAATTAAGATTATGAGGATAAGGAGGATAGATAATGATTGACTCTTGACATGAAGAGGTTAAGATTGTAGTGTAAAGGGTTACTGCTAAAATGGTTATGATGAATGAGGTGTGTGATAGGAATGAAAGAGGAGGTGGTAGGAAATAAAGATTATGAGGATAAGGAGGATAGATAACGATTGACGCTTGACTTGAAGAGGTTAAGATTGTAGTATACAGGGAAGCAACAACGCGGGAGCTTATTCTGGCATTTCTTGGGAGTATTCTTTTTACATTTGAAACACGGAGGAAATGAGAGTGATTCGACTCCGTGGAAGCAGAGTGAAAAATAGGCTTCCCTCTACACAAGACTAGCTATGCACTTATGTATGTATGTATGTATGTATGTATGTATGTATGATGGGTTTCTTGAAGAGACAAAAATAATTTGTTACATTTTTAGTTTATTTACTTACACAGAAGAGAACATATGCAAGAATCCAATAAATATAGACACTGTGCAAAGCCCCCCTTTCAACTACATTTCTGGCCATTATCAAGAATGGCGAATAGCCTCTGACCATCTTTCACATTTTGCAAAATACAGTCAATTTCTATGTTTATCGCTTCGATATTGTGATGGGGTCACGAAGACGAAATGGGTGTAAAATTATTGGTTTCCAGGATACACACCCGCAAGTACATTTAATTTTTATAACGAATAAATGGAATCTTCAACATACACATATAGGAAAATAATTACAGTGTCCATATTACTGACAGTAGACACGGAATGTGTATTTCTTAATAATTACAATGTCCATATTACCGGCAGTAGAAACTAAATATATATTTCTTAATAATTACAGTATTCATATTACTGTCAGTAGACACGAAATGTGTATTTCTTAATAATTACAGTATTCCTATTACTGGCAGTAGACACCAAATGTGTATTTCTTAATAATTACAGTATTCATATTACTGGCAGTAGACACGAAATGTGTATTTCTTAATAATTACAATGTCCATATTACTGGCAGTAGACACGAAATGTGTATTTCTTAATAATTACAGTGTTCATATTACTGGCAGTAGACACCAAATGTGTATTTCTTAATAATTACAGTGTCCATATTACTGGCAGTAGACACGAAATGTGTATTTCTTAATAGTTAAAGTATTCATATTACTGGCAGTAGACACGAAATGTGTATTTCTTAATAATTACAGTGTTCATGTTACTGGCAGTAGACACGAAATGTGTATTTCTTAATAATTACAAATTCCATATTACTGGCAGTAGACACGAAATGTGTATTTCTTAATAATTACAGTGTTCATATTACTGGCAGTAGACACCAAATGTGTATTTCTTAATAATTATAATGTCCATATTACTGGCAGTAGACACGAAATGTGTATTTCTTAATAATTACAGTATTCATATTACTGGCAGTAGACACGAAATGTGTATTTCTTAATAATTACAGTGTTCATATTACTGGCAGTAGACACCAAATGTGTATTTCTTAATAATTACAGTGTTCATATTACTGGCAGTAGACACGAAATGTGTATTTCTTAATAGTTAAAGTATTCATATTACTGGCAGTAGACACCAAATGTGTATTTCTTAATAATTACAGTATTCATATTACTGGCAGTAGACACCAAATGTGTATTTCTTAATAATTACAAATTCCATATTACTGGCAGTAGACACGAAATGTGTATTTCTTAATAATTACAGTATTCATATTACTGGCAGTAGACACGAAATGTGTATTTATTAATAATTACAGTATTCATATTACTGGCAGTAGACACGAAATGTGTATTTCTTAATAATTACAGTGTTCATATTACTGGCAGTAGACACCAAATGTGTATTTCTTAATAATTACAGTGTCCATATTACTGGCAGTAGACACGAAATGTGTATTTCTTAATAGTTAAAGTATTCATATTACTGGCAGTAGACACCAAATGTGTATTTCTTAATAATTACAGTGTCCATATTACTTGCAGTAGACACCAAATGTGTATTTCTTAATAATTACAGTATTCATATTACTGGAAGTAGACACGAAATGTGTATTTCTTAATAATTACAGTATTCATATTACTGGCAGTAGACACGAAATGTGTATTTATTAATAATTACAGTATTTATATTACTGGCAGTAGACACGAAACGTGTATTTCTTAATAATTATAATGTCCATATTACTGGCAGTAGACACCAAATGTGTATTTCTTAATAATTACAAATTACATATTACTGGCACTAGACACGAAATGTGTATTTCTTAATAATTACAGTGTTCATATTACTGGCAGTAGACACCAAATGTTTATTTCTTAATAATTACAGTGTCCATATTACTTGCAGTAGACACGAAATGTGTATTTCTTAATAATTACAATGTCCATATTACTGACAGTAGACACGAAACGTGAATTCTTAATAATTACAGTATCCATATTACTGGCAGTAGATACGAAATGTGTATTTCTTAATAATTACTGTGTCCATATTACTGGCAGTAGACACGAAATGTGTATTTCTTAATAATTACAATGTCCATATTACTGGCAGTAGACACGAAATGTGTATTTCTTAATAATTACAGTGTCTATATTACTGGCAGTAGACACTAAATATGTATTTCTCAATAATTACTGTATTCATATTACTGGAAGTAGACACGAAATGTGTATTTCTTAATAATTACAGTATTCATATTTCTGGCAGTAGACACGAAACGTGTATTTCTTAATAATTACAGTGTCCATTTTACTGGCAGTAGACACGAAATGTGTATTTCTTAATAATTAGAGTATACACGTTCTGTATATATTACTGGCAGTAGATATCAAATAGAAATACATAATGTTATGATTTTCTTTTTTCTTTTTAAGTAATTGATTGATATTTTGTGATACTTTGCTGCATAAGTTACATATTAACAGAGCATTGGATGCAGTTCTGTCTATTAAGATTAACGTTTGTGTCCGCTAGATAATTTTGTGAATCTACCAATAATTGCTTCTACATACAATTCATCTAAAAATTCCTTTTCAGTGGATAGAAAATTGTATGAGTTCAAATTCTCCTGAAAAAGCGGATTTCTTAAACCTTGTCTTTATGATCTTTAGCTTTAAAAATGTTCTCTCCCATTCGTCTTGAGTAACTGACAATGTGCTGATGACTTTATAAAGTTTTTATACCTTTTTTATATTATTAAAACAGTTGTCTGTGTTTGTTTCTTGATTGCATTTTTATTTGATATGGGTGGTGGAAGTCCATCAGTGGCCAGTCCGCTACTGATGGTGTCACAAGTAAGGCGACAGACTGGGGAGACAAGTAAGACGACAGACTGAGGAGACAAGTAAGGCGACAGACTGGGGAGATTCTTTACATTTCAAATCCTCCTTGCCAGATTGAAAAAGAGCTTATGTAGTTTCAGGATTATCATTTCTTTTTTATTTTACTTTGATCCTAGGATAAGAGCTTAACAAACCTGAGGCTTTTATTCGATCATGAAAGCTGCCAGGAATAAGGGTTCAAGTGCTCGGTCACAAATCTACATTGGATCAAGACATGTTTTTTTCTATCCCACCACCAAGAAAAAAATAAATATTCAAATATTCATATATATATATATATATATATATATATATATATATATATATATATATATATATATTTAAAGACATTTTTATGTTTAACATTCTTTTTATAATTGTCGGACTTGTCCATTTCATAATGTATGACGTCATATATATATATATATATATATATATATATATATATATATATATATATATGGCATAACGATATAAATTTTTATATATCAAGAACAGTTTTTAATAGAAAGGATGTATGACAAATTGGAAAAAGGTTTTTTTTTCCCCATCATCAGAAAAAATAACACAAAATATTCATATATATATATATATATATATATACACACACACACACACACACACACACACACACACACATATATATATATATATATATATATATATATATATATATATATATATTCTTTTTCCTTTGTCTCTTTCATTGTCTCTTTTGAAGATATTCTCTCTATCTTACTTCTCACATCCGGTGAAAAGAGGTCAACTTGTCCGCTCTCATACACAACTCTTCCCTCCCTATATTACTCCCTTTGCCGTAAATCTCTCTCTAGACATGCATATCTATTTCTCTTTTTCCTTCTTTTTCCTCCTTCCTCTTTCCCTCTCCCCCCCATATTAAAACTTTATTTTAAAGCAAATCTTATGTTTAAATATTTCATTTTTTGCCTGTGCCTGGATGAATTTTTAAATCTATTTATTGCTGAAAACTTTTGGTCTGATGAGGAATCAGGCTTGCGATATAAAATATTATGTGTTTCTAAAGTCTCCGTTTTCATCATCAGTAATTATATATATATATATATATATATATATATGGGATAACGATATATAAAGTTTTATATCAATTTTTTATTTATCAAGAACAGATTTTAAAAGAAAGGTTCTATGACATAATAGAAAAAGTTTTTTGTGTTACACTTAAGACTTCAAAAACATTTTCCAGCTTGTCATACATCTTTTCTGCCAATATATATACACATACATACATACATACATACATATATATATATATATATATATATATATATATATATATATATATATATATATTCAGTGGTTATTAGGACTGTATTAATAAACACTCTGATGATGCCCCATGTGAGCTGATGAACAAAATAAAGAAATATCTAAACGTTGGAGAGTTTTTGTCTTTGTTTACTCATTAAATTAAAGCCAACATACAAAGCATGGAACGGCTCCTGATAAAACATAATGAACCGTTAAGTTAATAATCTAAAGGTTTTTAGTATTTTTGTTTTATTCTTTAAAAAACAGTGCTCAATACATAAGTAGAGCCTAAATTATCAAAATTCGGTTGAGTATGAAATAGAGCTGGTTTCTTAGTTTCTATTCTTGAAACATGAGAATACACTTATGTAAGGATGGAATCATATTTTTAAAAAAATAATTATAATATATATATATATATATATATATATATATATATACGTGTACATATGTACATGTGATTTTCTAAGCGTAGCTTATATGTGGCACAACCACGAAAGTATGGGGCAGTCAGTCGTAATTTTTCTAGCGAGACAAGCTTGCTAACCATTACACCGCCTCGGGTTTGTATATATATATATATATATATTTGGGGGCCCTGTGGCACGTAGTGCACCAGGTCTCTGTATTCGGCCCTTCAAAAAGTGTGGATGGTCCTGCACGAAACCTTCACCACTATAATCAAATCTCATGTGCCCGGTGTCGGGCTGTCGGTTTCCTGGGAACCAATCTGCTTGATCCTCATACGTCGAATTCGACGGGAGAGTCGAGTGAGTATATATATATATATATATATATATATATATATATATATATATATATGTGTGTGTGTGTGTGTGTGTGTGTGTGTGTGTGTGTGTGTGTGTTATGGTCCAGGTTAGGACCAAGGAAGAACAACACAAACACAAGAGTAGAAATAACGAAGATGTGGAAGGTGTTAGTATGACTGTCAGTCTGGTTTGGAGTGAACTACTATCGGCACGACTCGATTCGACCCTCTCTCTTGAGAGGAGTAGTATACATAGTGTTAGGAAGGGTTCATTCTGTAGTTATAGGTAAGGACCCATGACAATGTATATATATATATGTCTGTGGATGATAATATATATATATATATTCGGTTTACCAAGTTCTTCGTTACTTAATATATATATATATATATATATATATATATATATATATATATATATGTGGGGGGGGTGAAAGAGCTCAGTATCAGACATAAAGAATATGTAAATATAAAAGTTGTTACTGAGGTGAACGTCAAACGGCGACAGTTACATGCTTCAGCGCAATTGCCAGGCCATCTGTTGTTGTGTTTGTGCTTTTTAAGATAAATAGTAAATAATTTTAAATTAAAAATTCCCAGCAACCCCCTTTCGTGCGCATGGGCAGTGGCACCTTCATTACAAATTTAGTACGATGAAGTCCTGAAGGACGAAACTCGTCACAAGAAAACTTTTTCCACTTTGTCATACATTTTCCCCCATTATGTGATTAAATAAAATGTAATAGTGATTAAAGATGATTGGTGTACTAATTGAAGAAGCGTTCATATACAAAGAGAGGGAGAGAGAGAGAAAGAGAGATAGAGAGATAGAGGGGGGAAGGGCTCGAAGGAGGAAGTGTGAGATAGATAGATAGAGAGAAAGGTGGAAATAGAGGGAAAGAGAGAGCTAGAGGGAAGAAGAGTAAGACAGTGAGAGAGAGAGAGAGATAAAGAGGGAGGGAAGAGAGGGGGGAAGAGAGAGAGCGAGAGGGAGGAAGTGTGTGATATATATATATATATATATATATATATATATAGAGAGAGAGAGAGAGAGAGAGAGAGGTGGGAGAGCCTGAAGGAGGAAGAGGAGATAGATAGATAGAGAGAGAGAGAGGTGGGAATAGAGGGGAAGAGAGAGCTAGAGGGAAGAAGAGGAGACAGTGAGAGAGAGATAAAGAGGGAGTGGGAAGAGAGGGGATGAGAGAGAGAGAGAGAGAGAAATATGTGATATATATATATATATATATATATATATATATATATATATATATATATATATATATAGAGAGAGAGAGAGAGAGAGAGAGTATGTGTGTGTGTGTGTTCGGGGTTAAGTTCAAAACTAAAACACAACCATGTTGATTAACTTGAGAGGTTGAAGGAACTGGAGAATAGTTTGATAGATATGAAAGGATTCTTTTATATATATATATATATATATATATATATATATATATATATATATATATATATATATATATATATATATATATATATATCTTTATGTAGGGTTGGGAGTACAATTATATGGTTACGGTTTAATTTGATCTTGATTTTTTATTTTTTTTAATTTTGCTGGGAGTGAATTTTTTTTTTTTTTTTATCTATGGTTAAATTTGATCTTGGCTGCACCGACACACTATTTCTGCTTTTGTTTTGGGGGTGGAGATACAATTGTGTGTTTACGTCTGTAAACACACAATTGATCTTGGCTGCATATAGGTGCTTTCACCTATCTCACTTATCCAGGCGGGTTTTGTGGGGGTGTGCACGCACCGGCCATATTTGGTCCATCTCGGGTTCGCTTGGGAGAATGATTTTTATTAATTCAACAGAATTTTTTAACCATTTAAACCTTATTTTTAGTTGTCACTAATATTTGAGCAGACGCTACGTTTATTTATTAAATAGTATATTTATTTCTTTTCGTCTACCGGCCTGAATGTCCGAGAAATTGGAGAGTAAATTTGTCTTTAACAAGATTTGTATCCACCAGAAATGAGTTTAAAGCGATAAAATATATATATATATATATATATATATATATATATATATATATATATATACCATTATATATATATACCATTATATATATATATACCATTATATATATATATATATAAATAGATATATAATTATGGATAAAACTCAGGAACAAATTAAGGACAGACATAAACAGAGAGAGAGAGAGAGAGAGAGAGAGAGAGAGAGAGAGAGAGAGAAATAGGGGAGAGAGAGAGACATAAACAGAGTCATATATATATATATATATATATATATATAGAGAGAGAGAGAGAGAGAGAGCGAGAAAGAGAAAGAAAGAGAGAGAAACTGACTGATAGAGACAGAGAGAGACATGCAGAGAAAGAGAAAAAGATAGTGTAATGATCACTCTCGATGGAATCTTAAAATCCAGTCTTGTTACATCTTTTGATCGGCAATAGCGGTTTAAAAGTAAACGATATATATATATATATATATATATATATATATATATATATATATATATATATAGCAGGAAAAATAGATAAAAATTTCAAGGTTCCAGACTTAATTATCGGAAACCTCTTCACCTGAAACCTTACACCTGTAACCTTTAGACCCTTTCTATAATATCGCAGGTGAGCATGGGACGGACGACTCTCGTGCTTGGCAACGGAACCGGATTCGTTGGATTGAGGAGAGCATCAACAAAAATCTCCTGTTGTTCATCGTCAGACTCTTCGTCTTTGACGTCATTGTTACAAACAGCGGAACCGGCTATCGTGGCCGGACTTCCTCCGACGCCAGTCCCGCTGACTTCCGTCGGCGGTTTTTGGCTCTGCCCTCCGACATCGGTCGTCGGATCGGCCTCGATTTCCGCCAGCGACGCCTCCCCGTAACTGGATAGGTCTTTCGTGCCGGCAGACGCCGAGCCGAGACCGAGATCGTTGTTATTTTCTGTCGTCTGCTTGCCTTGAGACGACGGCCATGTTTTCGCTTCTGGCGCCACGCATGCTGCTGCTGCTGCTGATGCCGTAGGGGCTACTGGTACTGTTGATGCTGCTTTTGTTTGTATAGTGGAAGTATCCGGTTCGTTACATCGAGCTTGTGCTCTTCCGTACGAACCGCTGCTGCTGCCGCTACTCCCTACATTATGACTGTTGTTATTGTTGTTGTTATTGCTGTTGTTGTTGTTGTTATTGTTGAAATTGCTGTTGTTGTTGTTGTTGTTGCTGTTGCTGCTGCTGATGCTAGTATCGTCGCAACAGGTGCTTGAACTTACGGCGACGACAGTGACCGGACTTGCAGCCATTTCCGGTGATGTAGAATCATTTTCAAAAGATGCGACCGTTTGTATATAACATGGACTGCTTCCATTGCTACTGCTGCTATTATAACTACTGCTGCTACTACTACTGCTGTTGCTGCAACTGCTGCAACAGGGGCTCCCCAGGTCGATAATCCGAGTAGTTGCAGTGGTAGTACCCGGCACGATGGGTTCTTCGGCATCTTTCTCGTCGTAGTAAAACTCGTCGTCATCGCTGTCGTCGTCGTCTTCAGCGTCGGCATATCGTAAGTGCTCGTGGTGGTGGCGGCGATAGTGGTGGTGGTGGTGGCGGCGGCGGTGTTTGTGACGGCGGAGGTGGTGGCGGTGCTCGAGTAGGGCTGGCGACTGCCGGCCGCTCCTCGGGTGTTCGGGCGGCGTCGAGGGCGGTATTAGTTTTTCTGCACTGCCAGAGGAGACCGAGTGGTTATCCTCATTGTCTTCCTCCTCCTCCTCCTCCGACTTCTGCTCCTGAAAGACCTGGTCACCCCTGCCGCTGCTGCCACCGCCGTCGTCATCGTAGTCGTCCAGACCGCCCCCTCCACTTAACGTGTCGTGCCAACTGGTGGTGCTTTCACTCAGACGCCGATCTGTCCACTCGCAATCTTCATACTCGATTAAAGTCCCTTCGTCATCACTGTCCTCTAATTCTGTTTATTTTAGTCGGGATTGACACAAAAAAAAAAAAAAGAAAAGAAAAAAAGAAAAGAAAAAGAAAAAAGAAAAAATATTAGAAAGTAATAAACATTAACCAATAATATAAAAAAAGACAAAACAAATCAACTGCATTATTAACTTCATTTCATAAAGCATACTCTTGAATGAACGAGATTAGAACGAGACTTTGTCACGTGACGAGAACATGAAGGTACAGGAAAACAGAAGTGAAAAGAAGAAAAGAGATTGATTCTTTTTTTCTCCCGCAAAAACAATGTTTGAAATGTAGTACAGTTTGAGCAGTACGAATTGTGCGTGAAAACTGAGACTTGAACGAGATTTGGATGAAAGTTTTGCACATGATGAACAACACGGACCCCCAAGTAAAAAAAAAAAAAAAATCGTTGTCGTCTGCAAAGAATGCGTCTTGAAACGCGATGCAATTAGATAAGCGTTTTGCTCGAGAACAGGTGAGAATTCAACTGGATTTGGACAAGACTGCTTTACGTGACGAAAACAGGACAACACCTCGAACGAAGAGAGAGATAAAAAAAATAATAGTTTTCTTCTGTAAAGAAAGAGACTTGAAATACGGAATAATTAGAATAGTCAGCAGTTTGCACGAGAACAGGTGAGAATGAAACGAGATTTGGACGAGACTGCTTTACGTGACGAAAACAGGATGAGATTTCGAACAGGGGGAGAGATAAAGAAAAAATAGTCTTCTGTAAAGAAAGAGGCTTGAAACACGGAGTAATTAGAATAGTCAGCAGTTTGAAAGACAACAGTTGAAACTGAAAGGAAACTAGGCGAGAAGATAGGATAGAGAAATATATCTTCTGTAAATGTAGAATGATATTGACATGAGAGAAGTTGCTTGATTTACATATCAGAAGAAGGTTACAATATAAAAATCCTAGAGTTAATAGAAATTGTCAATAGTGCTCGAAGGAACCAAGATGTACTAAGCAAATACCATTGAATGCACTTTAAAACATCCCAAGTATAATGAATCAGTTTTTATTTTTTCAATAGTGGAATTAGTTAAGCATGGAAACAGGCGAGACTGGAACGAGATGTAGATGAGACTTCTTTACGAGAAGGGGTTATCTCTATCTATAAAAGGCAGGATGTGTGTGTGTGTGTGTGTGTGTGTAACGAATGCACGGCTGCAATTTTCGACGGATTTGCACCAAAATTTACATGCACATGCTCCAAGTTAGCGGAAAAGCCAAGACCGACTTTGCATTTCCCAACTCACATTGACAGTGGAAATAATCGATTTTTTCATGCTTCTACGGCAGTTTTCATGTAGTTTGCGGCCATTTTCTACTGGCCAGAGTGAGAGCCAATAGCTGGCTGCCACGAATAGGCAGGAAGATTCTATTGGCCAGCGTGAGAGCCAACAGCTGACTGACACGAATGTTAACTAGCACTCTAGCATGCAAAAAACATCGATAGCTGCATTCGTCACAAGTGGGAAAAATTTAAATCTGCATGGCACTTTACTCCAATTGGCTCATTCGCTTGCTTAAACTCAACGTTGATTCTGATTCCGCAGGACTGGGTTGGGTGTGAAAAAGTATTTGTTGTTAACATTCTTTTTCATTCGGTTTTTCCAGTTACGAGTCCTTTTTTAAAGCTGATCGTTTTGTGTTGATTTTGTTTAGTTCTTTTTCGTAACAGATTTAATGTTTAGTATAGAGCTTAGAAAAATTCGCAGTGTAAGGCATGTAGCAACATCAGCACAGAAAAGGGCAACCTTTAAAAGACAAGGAAGGGCAAAAAATATTTTAAGTCAAGGATAGCGATTGCTGTATGAGTCGTACGATTTTTGAATCAACCCGGGCAACGCCGGGCCATGCTGCTAGTTAACAGATAAATTTGCGAAAGAACGGGTTTTAGTAACCACTATAGAATGTGATACAACTAAAAGTACATTGAAATAAATACCAGTTTAAAATTATTAATGCTTTATATAGTAGCAAACACGCATAAAAGAACGAATTAAATATTTCATGCTATTAGTCCTGATCTGGCATCCCGGCCTAAGACACTTTCCGATCGGCCTAACGCCTATTCTATAAATAATTTTATGGTACCGTAATTCCCTATGTATAATACGCCTTCATTCATAATACGCATACCTAAAATTGTGCTGGAAGTATGGGAAAATGCTTCTACTCATGCATAATACGCACCCCTTGTTTGGTAATCAAACCCTATAACCTGTACCGCACCAATTTCATTACGGCCAGCGTTTTCTACTCTTATTTTAAAAAATGATTTTAAAAATGGAATACTATTATTCTACTTCAGTTTTATGATAATTCTTATTTTATTTTACGGCAATTTTTAAAGGTTTTTTTGTAGCTGTGCATAATACGCATCCCTGATTTTGCTTATTGTTGTTTAGTAAAAAACGCGTATCATACATGGAAAATTACGTAATTGTTCCCATGAATCTAGATTTTATGAATTTATGGGATGTAGACTTTATGAATTTAAGCGCATTACTTAATTGGCGGTAAGGTCTCATCGTTTTAAGAGTTGAAATTCTAGATGTAACCGCAAGTTCTATGCTGGTACTTTCTTCCATTGCATTTCTCGCTTGTGGAACTTTTTTCTGACTTCTTGTTTCAAGTCAATGTTGATCTTCAAAAATGTAAAAGCAATGTCAATTTTTATCGTATACCTTCTAAATTCTTGACCTTTTATTGTCTTTTCTCCTTAATATTATTTTTTCTCATATTCCTTTGCGTATTAGTGGCTTTATTGCCTTGCTTGGGGTGAAATGATTAAAAAAGACGATCGTGTGTAACACAATGAAGCGTAAAAAGTTTCTAATTAATAGAGAAAAGATTTTTTTTCTTGAGATCTTTGACAAAGCTTGTCGAGCGAAGTCCAATCTATGTTCGGTTTCTGTATATCTGGAGAACCAGAGTAGTAGTTTTCCCGACAGAAATCCAGACAGCACATCTGGCGAAATGAATTGACAAAAATAAGAAAAAAAAAGGTGATGTAATGGAATAATCTGTCACCACCATGAGTGGCTACACTATAGGTAGTAACTACCTATAAGTATCTATAAGTCAACGGACTACAGAGACTAGCCGAAATATTTTCGGCTAAAAAGTCGAACTCTGTGCCTTCGGGCAGAGAGCATCCCCAGACGAGTCTATGTTGAAGGGCAGAGTCTCATCTCGGAAACAGCTATCCGTTTTATACGGGAAATTTTTGGCTGAGCCTACGGGCTCGTGAACCCCACATTAAATTCGGCCCTGTGCCACATCTGATCGCATGGGGCGGTTAGTAAATATATAAACTGGGATCTGTTGCGTACGACTCAGACTTACGCGAGAACTACCGACCTTCCAATATTAGCACTCACTAATGGATTGACTTGCGACGACCTTGTGCATAACTGTTACCTTTATTCTTATTGTACTGGTTTGTTACAATAAACCTTTACACATTATGAAATAGACAAAGTCCGACAATTGTTGTAAGACATTTTTATGTTTATACATTCTTTTTATAGATACAAATATTTAAGTAAATTTAAGTAATTTTATAATAAACAGTATTAAACAATATTTACCGGCCTGAATGTCCGAGAAATTTTCATAGAAAATTTTCGTCCTCCGACAGGAATCGAACCTGTATCCTATGCGTGGCTGAAACGGTTAAGGCACGTCAGGCTATATGACGGTTCCGTATAGGATACAGGTTCGAATCCTATCGGAGGACGAAAATTCTTTATGTAAATTCCTCGGACTTTCAGGCGGGTAAATGTTGTTTAATACTGTTTATTATAAAACAGAGCATTTAGTTAAATATTTGTACCTATCAAAAGAATGTATAAACATAAAAATGCCTTAAAATATACCTTTACTTATTTTATCCACCTTGTTTTTCAAGTATATATTCCTATTAAAACGGAGTATAGCAAAAGGAAAACAAAGCAAAAGAAGATCAGTGAAGATACTCATCAGGATTACTTATAGAATAATGAAAATAATCCATCTTTACAAATCTGATGAATGCAGAACGCACTAGTCGAAACGTCCATCACGTTCGAATAATTGGCGAATTGTTAACACATGTGATATCGGATATTTAAGAGGTAAAAACAGAACTGATGAGAAACAGCGTTAGAATTAGCAAGGATGAATATATTAATCCAGTGGATGAAGATTAATGACAATATTGCTGTTGAATAACGTGTATGATTCATTTCCTCATTTTAGAGGAGCAGGAAGGCTGAAGAATACATCGGCCCAAGCATAGTGATAAAACAAAAAAATGGTGAGAATATTAGTCTGAATACG